TATGAATTTTAACAATAAGAATTTATGTAGGTATTATAATACTAATTATTTTAAAATTTATATACTATTTTTTATTTTTTAAAATATATTTTATTGATTTTTTTACAGAGAGGAAGAGAGAGGGATAGAGAGTTAGAAACATCGATGAGAGAGAATCATCAATCAGCTGCCCCCTGTACACCCACCACTGGGGATGTGCCCACAACCAGGGTACATGCCCTTGACCGGAATTGAACCTGGGACCCTTGAGTCTCCAGGCCAACACTATCCACTGATCCAAACCGGTTTTGGCAATAGCATTCTTTTTGGATCTGAATGTCTATCAAATATCTCTGAATCTAATAATCCTATATAATAAAAGCCTAATATGCTAAGTGTCCAGTCATCTGGTGGTCCATTCAACCAATCAAAGCATAATATGCTAATGATATGCTAAGGCTGCTCAACTGTTAAAAATCAATAAAATACATTTAAAAAAAGAAAAAAAATCAATGTTTTCTTTTAGGATGATTGAGCTAAATAATATCGCTTTCAAAATATAAGAAGACATTTAAAACTCTGATTTCAAAAACATTCATGAAACACAGACGTGACTATCCTGTACAATAAAAGACTGATATGCAAATAGACCAAGCAGTGGAACAAACAACCAACCAAACAACTGGTCACTATGACATGTGCTGACTACTAGGAGGTGCGCACAGAACATGGCGGGCATCGGCTGCAGCAGGATGGTGGAGCAGGTGAGTGGGAGTGCCAGACCAAGATGGGGCTCTGGTCACTGTCATTGGGGCAAGCCTCTGGTTAATAAAAATTCTTTGCTCCTGTGTATCGCAGCTCCACCTGGTGATCACATCTGCTGCTGGTGTTGGCCCCAATCTCTCAGTGCCATCAGAGGGCGCAAGCAGCAGCTGCCATCCCTGATCACCTCTGAGGGCTTCTCCACCTCCCCCTGCTCCCGAGGGGCAATAGGAGCAGGAGTCACTATTCACACCCGCTGACAGTGCAAGCAGATGTGAGCGAGACCAGTGCCGTCAGCATGTACAATAGAAGCAGTGCCAGCAGACAGGGGCTGGGGGCCACGGTGGGAGGGGCTGGGTGGGGTGCAAAGAATGGGCTAAGATTTGCCCCTGTGCCCACCACAGCCTCACAACCCAAGTTTCTTTTCAAGGTGCACAAATTTTTGCATTGGAGATACTCAACTCATGGTTGTTTTTTGTTTGTTTGTTTGTTTGTTTGAATATATTTTATTGATTTTTTACAGAGAGGAAGGGAGAGGGATAGAGACTTAGAAACATTGATGAGAGAGAAACATCGATTAGCTGCCTCCTGCACACCCCCTACTGTGGATGTGCCGGCAACCAAGGTACATGCCTTTGACTGGAATCGAACCTGGGACCTTTCAGTCCACAGGCTGGTGCTCTATCCACTGAGCCAAACCAGTTTCGGCTCAACTCATGTTTAAAGGGCAAGCCTGAGGGGTGGAGGAACATCTCACTAGCTGCCATGGTTTTTGGTCTAGACTTCAGGTAAATTCTCAAGTACTCATTTAATCCTACAATTGTGTGATACTGAAACTGTTATTCAGGAGAACCAAATGCAATTTCCTAAAGCACAAAGCAAAGGTGTGTGTGTGTGTGTGTGTGTGTGTGTGTGTGTGTGTTTTGATCAGTTCAACACTAGATGGCTCTAGTTACAAAACTTTTTAAAAGTCTAAAATCCTAGGCTATGACATTATGAGAACAGATGGATTCTAAACCACAGACTCAAATTCTGCTATCTGTCAGAGTCGTCTTGTAGGCATTAAGAATAGCATCCAGCTTTTAGGTTTGAAATGCTGTGAATCTCTAAAGAGCAGGCATAAATCCTAGAAGTCCTCATTCACAGAGTAAAGCAAGAAGCATTATGGACATAGACTGAAGCATGTGGATTTAATTTTCTCTGTAATGAATGATTCCACTCTGTGCTCTTATGAAACTATTATTTTTTTCAAATTATTTTCATATACATACATCAATTCATTTGGCTTCTCAATAGTCAATGACGTAGACAAGGAAGGGAGATGTTTTCCTTATTAAAGGCAACAACACTGAGACTCAGAAAAGAGGCAAAAGCACAATCAAGGTTACATAGCTCATAAGTGAGGCCATTAAGACTAGGTTCCTCAGGTGCCAGATTCAGGATCAAAGCTCTCTCTGCACAATAGACAAGGAAAGAGAATTGGGCTTTTGCCCTACAAAGTGTGTCTGATTTGGCCCTTTCATTCTTTAGAATGTTTCAAGTTAATTACTCAAATCCAACCACCCAACATCTAAAATGAATTTTGAATTCCTAGAAAATTGAAAATAGTAAATAAATCTTTTATTGAGTTAGGTGAAGAGGATGGTTGGAAGGGACATTTTTTACACTTGGTCATCTCTGACTTTGAATTGTACTTTAGTTTATTTTAAGCTTTATGTTTTGCCTAAGCCAGCAATAATCAATGATTTTTAAAATATTTTTATATACCAGAGGCCTGGTGCATGAAATTCTTGCATGGGGGGGATGTCCCTCAGCCTGGCCTGTACCCTCTCCAATCCGGGACCCCTGTGGGTTCAGGCCTTAACTGGCAGTGGGACATCCCTCTCACAATCTGGGACTGCTGACTGCTAACTGCTCACTTGCCTGCCTACCTGTTCACCCCTAACTGCCTCTGCCTTGGCCCCTGCCACTGTGGCTTTGTCCATAAGGAAGACCAGACAACCAGAAGATGTCTGGTCTATCCAGTCTAATTAGCATTTTACCCTTTTATTAGTATAGATTTTATTTTTATTGATTTCAGAAAGGAAGGGAAATAGAGAGATAGAAATATCAATGATGACAGAGAATAATTGATTGGTTTTTCTCCTGCATGCCCCATACTAGAGATTAAACCTGCAACAAGAACATTTGCCATGACCAGGAATCAAACCCTGACTTCCTGGTTTATAGATTGATGTTCAACCACTAAGCCACACTGGCTGGGCTAAATATGACGGTTCTGCTGGGTGGCAAAGTTATTAAAAAAAGACATTAAAAACAAATTTATTAAAATCCACAAGCCAAATGATTGATAACATGCAAATGATTGATAACAGCTATCATTTAATGAGCACCTACTATGGACCTGATTACAGTGCATTTTGCAAACCTCTTCTTTTGTCCATTTTTCTCACTCTAATGCTACCACCCTAAGCTTAACCACCATCACCTCTACCTCCTCTTTAACTAGTCTATTATCTTCTTTGCCTCCCTCAAATACAAATCACTAACTCTTATTTAAATGCATACATTAAAAAATAATTCTAACTTAAACATATTTTGATTTATAAAAAGGAGTGACTAATAGAATGTTGCATGTCAATTATAAGTCAAAGGAGGACAGGCACTGTCATCTTATGACAAGTTCTCCTTAACTCTACACCTAGAATACACACAAGCAGATCATGTGGCTCACCTTCAGAAAACAGTGACTTCCTATTGCCCCAGGATAACACTGAAAAGTATGAGTGGGCCTCCACTACTTTCTCCTCTGCCCCTCATAACTTGACTTCTCTACCAGTTAATTAAATGGGCCAAACTCACTCAAACTCAGTGCATCCACATGTGTTACTTCCATCTATTAGATTATCCATCCTTCCATCCCTGACATCCCTCAGTCCTCAGCTGAAATATCTGACTTTCTAGAAGACTTGTCAACACCCCACGTCACTCCCATCCCCCAGTTTCACACTAGATTAGGTCCAGGTATCTTACATTGTTTAGCTTCCTGTACTTCTTTGTAGTACTTGTAACAACTAAGTTAATCATTGGGGTAGTATTTGCTTAATACATATACTTTATATCTGGCATGTCAACCACTAAATCTCTGAAGATTAACACAGTATTTTCTAAGTTTTTCAAATTTTGTTCCCTGCCTGGCTAGTGTGGCTCAGTGATTGAGCATCAACCTATGAAACAGGAAGTCAGGGTACTATATTCCAGGTCAGGGCACTCTCCAGAATTGCAGGCTCATCTCCTAGTGGAGGATGACATGCAGGAGACAGAGGATCAATGATTCTCTCTCATCACTGATATTTCTGTCTCTCCTCCTTTCTTCTCTGAAATCAATAAAAATGTACAGTTTAAAGAGTAAATAAGAAAATAAGTAAAATTATGCTCCCCAATAAATAAAATTTACAACCAGTACATACATGCAGGTAACTGAAATAGAAGTTTTATGAACACTTCCTACTCTTTCTAGATGCAATTTGGTTGACATTTTCTATTCTGTTCTGGTTTTAATATGTTGTATACCAGAGCTCTTCTCACCGAATGTAGAATGTAGACTTTATATCTTTAAAAGTAGCATTTCTCTATTCTTTAAAAAACAGTTACTACTGGGATTCAAACTAGCAACAATGGCCTTGGCTCTTGTATAATCCAGAACATAACTGATTATTATGCTTTCACAGTTGCTCATTCTCTTGAAATCTGAGTGAGCAACTTGTATGAAAAGCATGCTTGTCCAATCTGATCTGACCCTATTTGCTTGGTTATGTAAATGCTTTGTGTGTTTTAGTTTTACAAGCTACCATTTAGCTACATATTTGACCTGAAAATCCACACTTTACTCCATGTAATACAGTGATACAAAAAGTGTGAAAAGAACATTTCCTTAAATTCCCTTCATCTTAATATCATTTTGGCATAAGCACAACACTGGGAACTAACGTAAGAAAAAACAGCTTAGGTAGCCAAATTGCCGTGAGTTCTACTTTTCAAATATATGTTCTGAAAAGCTTCAAAATATTACTCATATCAAAGTGTTTAATGCAAAATTCATTTTCATTCTGTACACAAACGACAGCAGCAGTTTTGTAGACTCTGTTTGAGCTGTAGTGACCCAGTTATCTGGTCAAAGGGCTGCATGGATGCAAGAGACAGGGTGAGTTAAAGTTTAACTCCCAAGAATTGTAAACCAAACCCAACGCCACTGAACCTTTGGAGTTTGATATGATGATTAGAGCATAACAGAGTGACACGTTGAATTCGCCATAATCAAGGAAACCTTTTCCGGGCGGGGATCTCTGAAATCACTCAGGTACGGTCCATGTGTTTTCGCTTTTTCTATTTCAAATCTGTCAAACTGTACAGTATGGATCAGTGCAACGCGGTGAAAACAGCTTTTATTCTCTTCTACTACCGAGCCAAATTCAGGGATTTTTCTAGTTTGTTTGTATACTCTGAAGCAACCTGAAAACAAAAGGAAATACTGGGATGATCATATAATCTCAAAATGAGATGGCGGCCAGCTTTGGCTCCTTTAATCATTGTCTGAGGCTGAAAAATGTAGATTTACCACTCTGGGTTCAAGAATGGGGCTAAGGCTTCCGAAATGTTTATTCAGCAATAGCCAGACAGCAGAGAGTTGTGGCTGACTGAAGAGAAGTAGTATTAATGTCACTGGCCAATTCTGAGTTCTCTGTATGGGTCCTAATTCCTATCATACTTACAGTCCATATATTTGGTTATCTTTCTTTTTCTCCTTTATCCTGTACCACCACCAAAACAAACAAATAAGATAAAAGAAAAAAAAAACACCTGGATGAATTCTTGCTATTTCCTATGCCATTATTGTACTAACCAAAGGAATGCCTTATGCTTTCAATTTTCATTTTAGAAAAAAAATCAAACAGTCATAGAAAATGGTCAGGACTTCTTTGTTTGAAGTATATTTTTGTTAATTTTAGAGAAGAAGGGAGAGGGAGAGAAAGAAACATCAATGATGAGAGAGAATCATGGAATGGCTGCCTCTTGCACAACCCCCACTGGGGATCAAGCCCACAACCTGGGCATGTGCCCTTGATTGGAATCGAACCCACACCTTCAGTCTGCAGGCTGACATTCTATCCACTGAGCCAAACCGGCCAGGGTGAAAATGGTCGGCTTTCAGTGTGTTAAATCTCAACCCTGTGATGGGTAGTTATTAGATCCTTTCCTCTTAGGGTGGTTGGGGTACTTGTACTGCAGTGGATGTGTTTTCCCATGATCTTTTTGTTCACTCCAAAGAAAAGATGATTCACAACCAGAATATGCTGGTATTTTATCTAAAAAATAAATCAATCAGGACCCTTATCAGTATTATCCCATTCCTACCAGATATATTAAAAAAAACATTCTGATTGAAATACTTTTGTTCCATGATTACCAAAGGAAGTTCTAAGGAGAATGGGTTTCAAGTTAAACAAGTTTATCTACTGCAGAACTTTTCTGTTGTGTGCTGTGTGTCTCCAAGAATCAAGATGAAGTACGTGTTATTTGTGCAGGATTAGTGTTTTGCAAAACATACACCAGTAAATTCAACTCTATTTATAATTTAGAAGCAAAGATGTATTGGTTTTGTCTGAAATATTCTTTATCATATGTGCTGAGATGCATACCACAGGCCTGAAAATGAAAGTGATCTCACCTATTTGTCAAACCACGGAGGCCTCCCCTGCCAAATGCAGAGTAAGAGACAAATGACTTACAGGTTCATTGGAAAGAGCCGGGTTTTCTGGAATCATGTTGATACTGCCCATCTGAGACAATTCTCACATTGTCCTGTTCCAATGTATTATTCATCAAGTGTAAGGGCAGGGAAGAAAGAGTCGGCAAGAAAAAAAAAAAATTGGTTGTGAAAGGCAAATATAAAATGACATAGTGGATATAAAAACACTGAATATTCCATTATTATTTCCGACCAATACCACATTGCCTTGGTATCATTTCAAATACATTTCTTATACTATCTTCAATGGACACTAAATGTGGCTCCAAAAAAAAAAGTGATTCTATTGTCAACTAAGTTGAGGAAACGGTGGCTACACAGGTCTTGAGTGCTTTGAGTAGGAACAATAATGACAGGCATGTATTAAGCACCATATTGCCAAGTGCACTTCTTAGCACTTTCCATGCATGTCTTTCATGTTACTCTTAGAAAAGCTATGTAAGGTGGATGCTAGTATAGCATTTTACAAGTGAGAACATTGAGGCCTTAACAGGTTTGACATCACCCGGTTCGGGAGTGGCAGAGCCAGGCTCCCCAGCCAGATGGTCTGACTCCAGAGCCCTAAGCAAGTAACCACTGTACTACATTCACAGTGACTGGGCATTCACACTGTGTGTAAATATGCTCATTTGTTGTAAATATCCAGGAGAGTAGGCAATGTTTGGCTTCCCAAGCTTAATTTACAACAGAACATCTTCCAGGAACACCTATACATGTCTCTCAGAAATGATATTCCTGAGAACACAGGTTGAGAAAGAACAAATCATTTTTAGAGCCCATATGCAACATTCACAATAACAACTGATTAAGCCATCACTGTTGAAATCATCCCAATTAAAAAGGGACCTTATAGTCTAGTCATCCCATCAAAAGGGACCACAGCTATCTTCAAGACATTCAAAATTAATTATGGCATAAACACTGGACTGTTTTCCTGGCAGAGCTGAGTTGGGATGCCTGTACCCAAACTCCCTAGATTTACAGCCTTGGCCATAATATTAAACTTCTCTGGATCCCAGATCCCTCACCTACAAAACAGAGGTAAAAACTACCCCATGGAATTTAGTGAAAATTAAATGAGATGATAGAGCAAAACAGATAGCACAGTTCCTAGCACACAAGGAATTCAGCAAACTTTTCTTCCCTTTCCATCACTCTATTTGTAACAACCTCCAGAAAAATGTCCTAAAATTTTCTGAACCTATCCATTAGTTTCTCTTTGTCAAGACATTACTCATAAAACTTTACAAAATGATCTTTATGCTACATAAATAATGAAGCATTAATTAGCCACAAGTACTAACTTCATTTCATTTATTAGGAGAAAGAGACACCTATACTTTTTCTTTATTCTGAACAAAACAAGAGGACAATATCCTTTAGAAAATGTTGCTCAAGAAAAGTCTTAGTTAAAATCCCAATTCCTTTTACACCAAAACCCGGAGTCACCCTGTCACAGTGTGTGTTCATTTCATCACACAGTCAGCTGGTGTTAAAAATCTGTTTCAGTAACTCATTTAAAATATTGCCATTTCTCTAAACGCTGGGGAGTGCCCCGGGTCCTATTGCACAATGGTTTTCGTTACCTTATGCGCCTCTAAATGACTCAATAAGTTCAAACAAGACAATATTGATTGGCAGAGGATAAACACCATTTTATCTCGCTCATGGACACAGTAACCAGGCTCCTCTCAAGTGCAGTTCTGTCCGTCTGCACTGCCCCCAGGAAAGCATCTGGGAAAGGAGCTCAGGCCACAGTGGCACTCTCCATTCACAGTCCCAGGCCCATCTGCTCCTGGCCCAGTGCTGTCCAATCTGAACAAATGTTTTCTGCTCATTGGATCAGGAAAGCTCCTTTATCGCCTTATTCCATCAAGCCCAACCCAACTCGGTTATCAGCATTTAACAACTAGATTGCATTTTTGATACAAAATTTTGTTTGGTATTTCTGATTGACCCAAAGCAAAAATTAAAATATTTTATCTCATAAAAATGCTTGTTTTGACTAAAATATGCTGGTACCTTGAGCTCTCTAACCTGACTTTTTTTAAAGGTACATAAACTAAGGGTGCCCCCCCCCCTCATACAAATATTGTGTGTGTAATTTTATATATGTAGGTATTAAAGATCAGGTGGAAAACATTTTTCAGGTTTTGCTTATTTCAATAGGGTTTGGTCCCTGATAATATTTAGAGGGAAGTAATGATACGGATTAAGATAGCTCCCTCTTGTTTGCAAGGTTATGTACAATGTCCTGCCTAGTCAATAACATAGCTGAAGAGAATTAGGACCTTATGGTTTGTCCAGATGAAATGACTAAGTGAACAAACTGGTTTACAATTCCATAAAATACCACTTTCAGTGATGTGGTAATGTGTTCTCTTCCCCAGCAGTTCAAAAATGAGCCCTATTCTGAAGTGCCCAGTTGGCTTAAAGAACATCAGATTTACACAGCAGAATTAACTACAAGAGTACCTTGTTTCTATAGAATATTCTAGTTTGCCAAGTATTCTACACCTAAGAATTTGTTTTGATTTTTTAAATATATATATATATATATTATTGATTTTTTACAGAAAGGAAGGGAGAGAGATAGAGAGCTAGAAACGTCGATGAGAGAGAAACATCGACCAGCTACCTCCTGCACACCCCCCACCGGGGATGTGCCCACAACCAATGTACATGCCCCCGACCGGAATCGAACCCGGGACCTTTCAGTCCGCAGACTGACGCTCTACTACTGAGCCAAACCGGCTTCGGCTTGTTTAGATTTTTTTAATGCCAACGTTTTTCATAGTCAATTTAGTATGCCTAATTTCCTCAAAGGAATTGACTCCTTAGTCATCATTCCACTTGTACAAAGTTAGTTAACTGAAAGATGTTCTCACCTAAAGTACTTCGGCCAAGCTCCATTTATGCAGCAAAGTGCTAATTATCTAGGGAACTTTTACCTACTGTTCTAGACTTTACCAATTTGCTAATAAAATAAGAGATTAGATGAAACTCCGAGAGAGGTCCTAAGGATCCACATGGGAGGTGAGCAGAAAACCAGTCCCGTGTAGGTCTCAGAAGAAAACAAACCTGACAGGGTTTAAACCAGTGCAGACGCTGCATCTAACAGAGAAAGAAACGAAGGAAATGAGGATTCTACAGTATCTCCTAAAAGACTGGCAAAGTGCTGTGTATAAAGGCAACTGCTGCTCGCGCCTGTTAACTCACCTTCAGCATTCTATCCACCTCTTCTATTAGGATTGTGTTTAGGACTTATCTTTTCAGCGGGGGCCTTCTGCACAAAGCAAATTGGCTTATGAGATGTACTTAATGTCTCCGATTACTAGCAGTGGAAGTCAGAAATCAGAACCTGAGACCATGGAGGGGGAAACTGTTGGCACATAGAAATGCTTACCTCAGCAACCCCCTTTCTCCAAGATCTGTAACAGTGACTCACAACTCAGGCATCTACTTTGAACCAATTAAAACTGGCACCTACGATGATGATAGCAATGGTGCTAATAATAGCTCTTACATCCTTGAGTGGCTCCTGCCCTGTG